GTATTTCACACATAACACAGGTTACTAGAACATGTACCACTGTATTATCATACACCAATTCAACAGCAAAATTATTCAAAGCCTGCCCTTCATTAATTGGTATGCCATAAACATTTATAATGTATATCTAGACCCGGATGCTGAAGCATGTTATTGTCTGATATTTCCATCATTTCAGAGTTTGGTATTCATATGAGACCTGTGAATTCATATTAAACTGTCATATCTAGAACAGGTATTTTTAGAAAGGTCTAATTACTTTCTGTCACCTGAATAAACACCCCATTAAGGTGTACAGGCCATGTGTCAAGCAAGATTGTCCTGATGATAAACAAGTAAAAGGATTACAAGTTTTGATAATTATTTAACCTTTTCTGGCATTTCATATAAAGGAAACATTATATATGGCATTTATATAAATCTACTGGTACCTTTCTGAAATTTAAAGCTTGCGGGTGTATTATACAAACCATTAACCTAACATCTATGGATCTTATGAATATGATAACAAATTATATGTCTTGCTTTGGGCATTATATGTTTGGTGTACATTAATACTGGAGTTGATGTCTTCCATATCCTAATGCATATGCCATCACATTTACATGTACATTAGCCTCTAACTAGCAGACAAAGACTAAATCCACACAGGAATAACTAATGGGTTTTGTTCTATGATTATATTATCTGGAACTACACACAATGACAACAGAGTTGAGTCCATTTCTTATTCTCTGCCTTCCTCTTCCTACTGTTACCACAGACTGAGTTCAAATGTTGAAAGTGTTTGATAATAACAACAATATTACATTTTTACACTTAGCCTTGCAGATGGTCTTCAAGATATTCACCACAACATATAGAATAGTAGAATACTTCAGTGGAAGATCTCTTATCTATAATATGAGTGAGCTTTACTGCCTCAGTGGAATGGTATTTATGCATAAATACACATCACAGAAGCAAACTCCATCTCCTAATAACACACTTGAAACAGTAGCAAATGGGAAAGTTAAAAATGTCTAATATTTCATTACTGTAATATATAGACACAGATATCATGTAGCTTGTTTAGGTTTCTTTTGTTCAGACTTCTGTGACAACAAATTCCCAAATGAGAAATATCAATTTTATTCTGTATTAGCTACATTTTTCTGAATAATGTTTGATGCTTCACTTCATTATCCAAACCTCCTCACATACGTACATCTCACAGCATTGATTACCAACTCCATCATGCACCATTTTCAGCTTGATTACCTTTTGTCTACGTACTCCCTGCATAAATCATACAAGCTGAAATACCTGACATGCAAACATACTAAATCAAGGAACAAAACTGGTCATATTTCTTACAACTCAAACCTTTCCAGCATGTATGTGTAGCTGACTCCCCGTCACTAATTACCTATCGTGTATACAAGTGTGTGTCCCATTTACATTCGATTTAATGAATCCTTCCCAAATCAAGCTGATTAGAGCTGCAATGGTTTCTAAAAACTGAACAAATTTTAGATAATTTCTTCAATTTCTTCATTCTAAATTTCTTCATTTCTAAATTTTATTTGTCCTCTGGGAAGTGATCAGTGAGGTAAAAGATCAAGTACATTTGTCTGTAACTAGAATTTTCTTACCATTGTATACTTGGACTAACACCAACCTTCTTTTATCATATAAATTAAACATCTGCTCAATGTGATTCTATGTGATGCTATAGGTTTCTTCAAGCCATTTCATAACGAACTTTTTACGCATGTTCCAGCTACGAACAACATAACAAACATACCTGATTAAGGCTCACTCTTTGATGAAATCTGTTTAAATCAAACAGCTGAATAATTTCAACTGAATCAGTGACAAATTTGATAATAAACAGTAAAATATTTCAAATTTCCCTGTTCCTAATTGGACAATGTTTAAAATTTAACAAGCTCCAACGCTAACATCCACCCAGGCCTGTGATCTGCTGCAGTCCACACAAAACTACATGTCAGTATATGCTATAACACCCCCAGTGATCTGTGTACAACTCCTACCTAGCTTTTCTTCTTACATGGTCCACCCGATAAATATCCTGTCGTCCAAACATTAAAGGCATTTTATTGGTCATCTAATGGTCATTTGGTAGTGTGACAGGTCCACCTTCTGTCCATTAGAGTCCAGACTGCCCTCTCTAATAAAGGTCACTCACTACTCCAGTCCTGAACAAACTGGTTTAACATATGGGACCCAGTAATTGTACTACTAGCACAGCTTTAGCTTGGACTGTACAGACACACAATCACAGGTCCAATCTCTTGGGGAGATAAGGAGGAAAATGTCACTGCGGCTTTAGAGAAGCCACTTCACATTTCAGCTTTGGATTCTCATTTTTCATGATATGGGATAATTCAAGCATTTAACCACCATTTTAAAACTAAATAGGTCACGTTTGACTTCATTTTTGATTTAATTTTATTTGTTTCCAAAAATGATCCCCCAACAAAAATGCGTTCTAGCCAATCAAACGGTTGGTGACTCACCAAAACACGAGGAAAAAATTAAAAATTTTCATTCGACCTTTTTTTTTTTTACTTACCTAAGGAAAATCATGAGTGTCTTTTTTTTATTTCTAATGTTGAGATCAACACTTTATCAATGAATTTAACAACCTTTTCAGTATTTCATATATTGTTGGCAAATGGGGATGTTTATTCCTAATTGCTGCATAACTAATCAATATGGAAATTATGATGCCTGAATCATGCTATATGAGCAATACTTGCTGAATATTTATGCCAGAACAAACTTGAGTATGTTGCTTTGAAAATAATCACAGAAATAATGTGTTCCATCCAGCTTTTTAAAAATATTTAAAAGTAATCACATGCTCCATCATGCTCAAAATGTTTGATTAAAAAAAAATCCATTCACCAGTTTGATAAGAAACTGCTTAATATTCCAGTATGAACTAAACAAAATTATAAAGTGATACAAGCAACAGAAATATTCCACTTTAATTTGTGTACCCCAACAGTTGACCTCATCACTGTTTACATCAGTCCTCACTTTCACATTACCAAACATTTACAAATCAATAAACATTCCTCAAAATAAGAAACACTGGGCTTTTCAAGTTCGAAGCAGTTTTTATAAAAACAAGAGTAAGTTTAAAACAAGCGTAATAAGATTTCTGCCTGAGCTGAGCGTTACCTTCTTCTACAAATTGCATAAAATTCAAAATAAATCACATTTACTATACTTCAGTCCCAAGCGCCCTTTCCCCCCAGAGTAAGCCAACCTTTGGCAAACTTGTTAACATTGTTTACACACCAGGAAATAGAAAATAAATCTTCCAAAAATGATTTTCAAAGTAGCTGAAGGAAATTTCCTGCAGCGTGACTGTGATAACTGATTTGTTATCCTCCTAGCAGCATGCTCTCCTCAGGAAGGCCACAAATGGTGTTCTAGAGGGCAGCGAGGGCCAATACAGCCCCTTTGAGATGGTGAGAAAACACAGTGTAGAATGTGGAACATGACGGGAACTCTGCTGGAACCACTTCCAATAATTTCCTCTGCATTCCTATCATAAGCTACTTAAGTACAGTGTTTTTTCTTTATCTTTTTAATCCACTGTTCCAATAATTTATGTGAAACTAGCATGCTTGCTTATAATTCAACAGAGGAAAACCAATGCTAAATTTTAAGTCAAATTTTCAAAATTGTTTTTTGACAGCAATCTGAAAGCAATCATTTTTTTAAAATTTGAATTCGGAGTCCAATGTCTCCTAAATGGATTAAGCTTAAAGAATCAACCATAGCAACAGACTGTTATAAACTGAACAATTTTTAATGCTTCTCATTGACAAAGGTATTTTTTTCCTTGCACTGAGGCACCTGTAAAGTGCTGCCACCTATGACCTTACTATGACACTAATCATTTTCAAGGACATAGCCAGCAGCTGTACAAATTGTACTTTTCAGGTGCCTTTTTTCCACACAAAATGAGCAAGATTACTCTACAATTTTGACCATATTTCATTGACTTTAAAACATTCCTTTGACACAGAAGACTGTCAGTGACAAAAGGAAGGGCATTTTACAAATTGGTTACCATTTCTGCATGAACATGCTTACTGCAATAAACTTCCTATCCATGAGAGGAAATAACATTCATCTGTAGTAGTATACATCTTTTTACTAATTCTCATCACTAATTTGTACCTGTAATATGGTTTCACAATTTCTGTACTCTAATCTTCTCTAGTCCTGTGTGTTTCACCTGAATCCTAAGCAAGTCATGCCAGAACTTTATTTCGTTTTAAATTTTCAAAATCACAACTTGCTATGCACCTCAATCTTGAACTGGCCAAAATAGATTATATTCTTATTTTACTCTGAGAAATGACATAAACTAACATGAATCAAGGTATTACGTAAGTGAAGTGCTTACATTTGTGAAAATAAACTAGCAATGCATTGGCCTGCAGCCATGTTGTAGGTTCCCATTTCTATCTGTGTAACTGACACAGACTGCAGTTACAATCCATATAGATCTATGTATGGCCTCAAGGACTACATGGTACTGTAGTCATTCATAAAATGTTTTCCACACATGGATATTCTCACCTCTGAGACTGGTAGCACACACACAAACACACACACAGAATACATAATTCTATTTACAAACTAATATGCCACAAGTTGTAAACAGGCCTACATATATGGTACTTTAAAATTTTCAACAGAGCCAAATCTACTCTACTCCTAATCTGAGTCATCATTGTTCTCAAAGAAATATGAAGACACATTTTAACCTTGTGGAAGGAAGAATGACCCCACAGCACTTAACTTCTTAAAAGTGAAAGGAGGATATTATATGGAATAAACATCTTCAAAAAAGGAAACCACATATTTCCATATTTCCCAGTACTTCCAGATGTTGTACAGTCACCTTAGGGTCACCCAGAGGTCACTCAGAGGTCACCCTGAGGTCACTCGTCCACACCATGTCCACTCACCTTGTGCTGACTTCCTGTGGTCTCCCGCGAGACTGGTCACTTCCCCGTTCGCCTCCCCGCTCGCCTCCTCGGTCACTCCGGTCTGCCTGGTCCACGGAGGCATACTAGAAACAGCAAGTTTTTATATGTAATAAACAATCTTATGATCAACCTAATCAAGCTGTTACTGCAGGAGCTTAAACTAGAACCATTGGCCTTTTTTTCTGAATATGAATTTTGAATATGAAATAATATAAAACAGTATCTGCTCCAAAACTTGGCAATTTGTTTTCACTGCAACACAAGCGTGTACAAACAACTTACTTTAAAACAAAAACTATGAGTCACTACCAGGTAATGCTCTATAACTCTTAATCTTACAATGCCCCATTTCAGGACAAAATATGTCCCAAGTCTAAACTGAGAAAAACCTGCTGTATATCTTAATATAATTGCAACATGCTCTATGCAGTATATCTACAAGCTTATTTCAACATGTTTCATCTTCTGACATAATTGCCACCTCTTTTTTGCTAACTTATTATTATATCTTAAATGTTTAGAATTTTTCACAATAAGATTTTAAAAGAGTGAATATTTTTCACTAAGAAAGACACACTAGAAATTAGCAATATTCTAAAAGCAAAAGCAACACACTGAACATAAACATCATTAGAAGTCTCAACTAATAATATATCTCTATTCTAAAGCTTTCTAATAGAAGTAGAAATAAACAAAAGAACACAAAATATTAGATATAACACATCAATAATATAAATATACATATAAACAAACAAACAAACACAGAGATACAAGTTCTTAAGCAGTAGCATCTATCCACTAACAAACCAATTAAATAATTAATGACTGAATGTAAGGACCATTTAGACCCCATATAAAAACAACACGCCAAATACCCATCTGAACTTGTGTTCAGAGAACTCAAAATAAAACAAGATTGGTTTCAAGTAAAGTTTCAGAGTCATCATAATAAAGATGTAAAAGTTGGATCACATGTGATTAGAAGAAAATTCACTCTGAGAAAACATGTAAAAGAAATATAAACAGAGAATGAAAATCACGTCAGGAATATTTTAACACAGAGTTACAGGTTTAAATGTTTTTCAACTTTAAAATGCTTCATTTTTTAAAGGGAATTAGGTATTTTACTCTATACCACAAATACGGTCTAGCCTACAGGGTGCTTCCTCTTATTCAAACAATGGTTACTTTGTAAGTAATTCAATTACAACATTTTGGTTACATGAAGGTTACAGTTCTTATTATCTTATTATTTTGTTACACTTGAAAACATTACTTATAAAATGGTCAATTTCTGAGGTAAAATTTCCACCCACCCATAAAAAAAAATATTTCAGTCCTTACAACTAGGTATATTCCCAAATATGTCAACATTAATATATGTAATATAAACATTCTGTTAGTGGATAAATGAGTAAAAACTTAAAAACCTGTCTCCTGAATCTCGGCCTGGTCACCTGTGGCATGAGAGGCGCCATACGAGGCGGGTACTTCTCCTCTGGTCCTGGCAACGATAACGACCCCGGTCTCTCTCCACTCCTAGAACTTCTGTCATGGCTGGAGGCTGTGGATGAAGATGTTGAACGTCTGCTTCCCCGTTCATCGCCACGCTCTGCTGAATCTTGTCGCCGATACTGCTGTTGTTGTGTTGCTGATGATGTCGATGATGGTGATAACATATCAGGACGCATTTGCTGCTGTTGCATGTCACGTTCATATCTATACTGACGAGGATCTTCACCGCTCCGCGTACGTCTCTGACTGGAAGGTCGTTCTTGTGGTCGCTGCTGACCAGGGCTTTCCCTTGGCACTGGCATGGACTTGCTCAGAGGGTCGTACTCACTATGTTCCCGGCGTTTTCCAGGAGATGGTGTCCTATCTTTCCAGCCAGGGGGCAGGGTTCCATACCTGTCCCTGGTAAAATTCAAGGGGTTTTCCTCAGATATGCTACTGCTGCCACTGGAAATGTCCATGCGTTTTCCAGTCTTCATTTCATAGAAGTTCAGCAGTGCCTGTTGTACCTGTACCTTCTGGTCAGGATCAGACATACGCACCCGGTTTGGATCTTGTTGTCCACCGATGTAAACTGAACCAGACATGGGGCGACGTTTTGGATTTGTAGGCCGCCTCAAACTGTCACTTCCTTCAGAATATCGTTTTTCACGGCTAGATTTCTCCTCTGCTATGTCCATGTATCTCTGTTTTCTAGAAACATCATACCTGTCAGACTCTCGTCGCTTTATCTTACTTCCTTCACGTGGGCTTTCCTTTGTCGGGTCTGACCCTCGTGATACTCTCATTGGTTCCCTATTGGGATCGGAATTCTGCCTCTCTCGTTCTGAATCTGTACTTTTCTGAGAATCAACACTCCCTCCTTTTTCACGCTCCTTGATTGGCCTGATTTGTTCTGAAGTGGTACGTTTTAATCTGTACCTCTCATGAGGCACTTTACTCAAGTCTTTAGCCATTCTATCCAAATGGTTCTTCCAATGGTCACGATCAAATTCCTCAGACCCTCGACTCTCGTTGACTTCAGCAATCTGTCCCAGTGGTTTGGGCTCGTACTGGCTTGGATATGACTGCTGCGGAGAAGGCAGTGAAGCTGGTCCTGGCTGCAGAGAGGAGGCGGAATGTGAGCGGCCATGACTGACAGGGAATGTTGCATTGAGGTGTGAATCCTGGGGGTCTGTCCTGTGAGGATGCTGCATACTCTTGGAGTGGCTGTGGTGATGATGATGAGAAGCACGAGACTGTGCATGTCTTTCTGGTTGCTGGCCCTGGTAGACATTTTCATAGGCATGTCTGCCATGATCCTGATCATAATAACCAGCTTGATATGGCCGTCTGCGTCTATCCTGCTCTGGTGGAATATCTCTTTGTGGGTGAACATCGATACCTCGCTCCCTATATTGAGAAGAATCTCCCTTTTGATTAGATCTGGATGATTCTTCTGGCAATGTACTCAATTGTTTAGGTTCACCATGTGACCTTCTTTCACCATGTGACCTAGAGTCTCCATATGACTTTCGATCACTGTGTGATCTGCTTTCTCCATGTGATCTACTATCGCCATGTGACCTAGCATCACCATGTGACCTCTGGTCACCTTGAGAAGACCTCCGTTGTTGTTCTGATACTGGCCTACTATCAGGGTTATTTTCATAACTGTCTTCATAAATGCCATAAGCTTTCATGACTGAAGTCTTACGTGTTGGACTCACAGGACTGTCTCTTTCTTTGTCTCTAGGGGTCTCTCCTAGAGAGTGTCTCCCCCTATTGTAATTATTCTCTGTGTCATGTGACCTATGCATATGATATGAAGGAGACTCTAAGTGTTGCTGTTGTTGCTGGGATTGAGGATTATTTTGATTTTTTGAGAGCTGTTGCAATGACTGGTTGAGACTGTTGTGCTCTTGTTCCTGCTTCAACTTTTCCTGCTTCATTCTCAAACGTTCTTCCCGCTTCTTACGTTTTGGCGCAACTGGAGTAGTTTCCATATCAGAATTATTTGTACTTTGCTGTGTGTGCTGTTGTGTTGGGGTGTCTGACACCTCTTTGGCATTGTCTTCCTCATAATTATTTTCAGATTCCTTCATATCAACATTTTGCCAGTTATCAAACTGGTTTTCATTTCCTTGCACATTGGGTTCTTCTTGTAATTTTTGCTCCTGAACTTGTGCAGCTGTAACATCAGCAGGTGGCTGTTGAAAATATTTTAATGTATCTTGCTGCTGTTCCTCTAATAATTTCTCCTGCTCTTGTTGTTTGATTTCTTCTTCTTGCTGCTGCGCTTGCTCCTGTTGCAGCTGGTCATACTGCTGTTGTTCTTTTATCTGTTGCTTGTACATTTCTGCTGACAGCTTTCTCAGCATAGGCGCTGTACTGTCACTGTATGAATGGTAAGGAATGACTTGAGTCTCATTATCATTATCAGAGGATTTAGGCTCATCAGCCTCTACTTTACTATTCACAAGCGTGGAATCAGAATTCACCTGATCTTCCTCTTGTGATGGTATATGGTCATCATGTTTGTCCTCATAGTGATCCTCATCTGCGATATCTGTCATACTTTTAGCCAACCTACTAGCTCCATCATCAGATTTATATCCACTCGACACATCAGATAGTTTATGATTTTCCGCATGTTGCATCCATGCCTGAATTCTCCTGTATGGTTCATTTTCATGATAAATCGCCCCGTGTCCCGAGGTTCCTGCAGGAGCAGTTGTATGTGTGGATGTGGTGGCCTGGGTAGTTTTCAGGGTGGGAGACTCAGGGTCCACCTGAGTCCCACTGCTACTCATCACAGGTTGAGCATGGTAGACTCCAGTGAAATCTGTGTCCACTTGAACCTCTGCATGTTTCTTAATACTGGACTCACTTTTACTTGAGCTCATTTTATTGTTAACGCTGGGTGTGTGAGGTTGTTGGAGCTGCCTCTCTGTGACAGGTGTGTCAAGGTCGTCCGTTTGTGTACTGGTGTTATAGTAAGGTTTGTTACGCACAATGTACGTGTAGCTGTCACTTTCATTAAGAGGGGAATTCACCTGCTGTGACCTCTGTGACCCTATAGTAGAAGTGGATGCAGATTTGACCACAGTGCGCCTTGCCTCCATACTGCCACTACCTCGACTGCCACCTTTCTGACCTTCAAACCGCGCAACAAGATCTGAAAAACTTTTCCTTTCCTCTTGAGGCTCTGTCTGAGTTTCGCCATTCTGTTTAACAATGACATCTCGCTGTGAAGATGGGGCTGAATAATCCTCATCCTCATACCCTCTTCCCATCCTACCACCAGGGTATGTGGATGATGACTGATACTCAGAGTAATCAGTTTGGATTTCCATACTGTTGCTGGATTTAGAATCCATGGGGAATGTGCTGTTCAGCTTCCTGTCTTCTTCCACAGTATGAACCTTGGCCACTGTTGCACGATGAACATTCCCTGCCCTCATTTCCAGCTCCTGGGGACTCTTTACAACATCTTCGTATCCTCTTTCATGTGACAATCTATTATTGACATCACTGAAGGAAGGATTCAGTGTGGAATCATATGACCTTGACAAGACACCCCGCGACCTTTTGGAAAAGTCGTTATTATTTGTGGTTCCTGTCTGCTCAGACCAAGCGTTATTTGTTCTGGGGGCACTGACATAGCCAGGAGATTCAGGGGGTTTCCCCTCCACTGGAGAACTCACACTGGGAGCAGTCCACTGCTGTAGACTGCTGTCCATGTTGTGACTTGCTTTGAAATATTTCAGACTGGAGGCATCCCTCACAGGAGGCATGGGAGGGGACTGTTGCTGAGAGGATGAGTCTACAAGGTCTTCCTCTCTTGGAGGTGGAGGAATCTCTGGCGGTTGTTCTTGTGGCTCTGGATGGCGACTATGATCAACATCAATGTGATATTCAGTTCTGTAGAAATTTTCATAATCGTTGTTTGATCTTCGATAGTTTGGTCCCCTTGTGCATTGGATGGAATGTGAAATCTGCCGAGGCGGGCTATCCTGAAACCCTCCATACTGTGGCGATGCCTCAAAAGGCCTTGTATCCCATGATCCCACACTGCTTTCCCATGGTCCCTGTTGCTGCTGCTTCGTAGGCAAAAATTTATATCCAGATCGCGTATTCAGAGCATTATACATTGAAAGCCTACTACGATCTGCTTCTTCTTTATCCAGATTTGGCGTGGAGTAGGCCGTGTGCATTGTCCGTGTTGGCATGCCACCATAGGAGCGTCTGTTGGTCCCCTTCATGACGTCAGAGTCTTTATTTGTAAAATTTGCACTTGATTGAGCTTCCTCAGGATAGTCACTCAGATTATAGGCACTATGATAAGTGTTCAGTGTTTTGCTATTATTGCTTTTGTTCACATTATTATTGCTCGGTGTATTTTCAGCCTCAGCCGCACTCTCTTTAAGTTCTGCTAGTGTTCGTGTGGGCGAGGTGAATGGACTGTCCTGTGCAGTGCCTTGTGTGCGTGCAGTGGGACTGCTGAGTTCGTTGAAAGAACTGTCGTCAAGTGGTGAAAGTGTGAGTTTGGCAGTGTCACCATCGCCGCCTACTGGATGCCATGAACGAGGTCGCACCCTGGATCTTGAACTGAAATGAAAAGAGAGGATAATCTGATAAAATTATCAAACATTTGGGATGGTTCTAAAACAATAAACCCCTGCTCACTTTGCCGCAAAAAAACTGCATAATGGAGATTTGCATGTGGACCTTACTGAAAACTTATGCTATTTTGCTGTTCTTCAGAAAAGAGGGATACTCTTTCAAACAAAGCTATCTCCCTCTCTTCTATTTCCATTATCTGCCAGCAATTTTCTCAGACTTTAAAGGGTTACCATAACAATCAGTATCAGCAAAGACTTCATCAGGCTCAGAGTCCCATGACAACAGCTGAGAACAACTCCCATTATGGCATCAAACAAATATCCAACTACACCTCAATCTGTGTGCTGATTTGTAGCACTAGTTGCCATGCAGCCCTGCACTAAGACAGACACCATAGTGCTCTGAACTCTGAGTAGTACCTGCAGACACTCTGAAGTAATAAGCCTGTGCATAATTCATGTGGCTAATTTCTTCTTCAGTAAGAAAAGGTAAGAAAAATCCAATGCAAATTCATACAGGGAAAGTCACATTTCTTGCATTTATTGCATCATAAAATACTACTCAGTCTATAAATCTATGTTTGTTCAGGAACAGTAAAGAAATTACCTTTATGTATCTACAGCCTCAAACATTTTTTGAGCTGTCTTATACTTACACTGATAGACAGTTACAGCCTATACTGTATAAAGAAACAAGACTTGTATGCTTTCAGGCTACAGCACAGTAACAAGTCTAGCAAGCAGACTCATGTTAACTACATTTTCTGAGGCTATTTGTTGAAGTTGGCTATTTAGAGTAAGAAATGCGCCTCAGTTAGCATTTACCATATCAATTTAACATCTCTTTTGGCAATTAATTTGTAATTAAAAGTGACAGCATGAAAGGTCATGAGAAATGCAGGTAAAAAAATCAAGTAAAAAATGCAAATGAAACCATTTAAACATTCCAGCATTCTGGATCAGATTAGTAACTTTAAATTCCTTAAGCCCCAGAAATATTTCAATTTTAACCCACCACTTTAAATTCACATTTGCTTAAATCCTACATAGAAACCTTTATCAATACTTCCCACTGAAGAAAAAATATAAAGAAGACAAACAAGCATAAAAATGCTCTTACTGCTAAAGTCAACAAAGTTTTAGCCACCTCGGAATAATACCTTTATTCACTGAGTCTTAATAGTTAACAGTGCACCTACACAAGTTTGCATATTTTGAGTGTGAGTCACTGTGTAGATTACGATTTAAATCAAGTCACATTAACTTCCTCATGCGGGGCCACTGAACATAAAAAGAGCACTCAATAAAACTGGCCAGCCAAGGTGTATCTTTTAAATGCAGACAGTTTACATCTTTGTGTTTACTTTGCAAGAGCTTTATTATATTCAAATCTGCACCGGTTAACTTTTTGTCTTATTTAAATAATGAGAACCACACCTGCCATAATATTCTCTGTACACGGCATATGTACAAAGCTGATATATGCACAGCACCGTGGTGTATTTGTATATTCTCCACTGATATTTTTTCTGACCCTTAAAACAGTAAGAAATTCTTCGATGAGATTTATATACCAATACTTGGGTTCTAAATTGTACACAAAAAGAATTTTATTTCAAATACTTGAACTCATACCTAGTGCTTCGGCTCCCTACAGTAAACTAGACAGACATGACACCTACACGAAGACATTGCTGGTTTTCTACATATACATCTAAGTGTACACATCTAATGCAACATCTAACTAATCCTACCTTCAACAGGTATAGTATTTGTTTTTAACTTTCATCAACCTATCCTTTCCAGTATGTTTTTTAAACTAAGTCCTCCACCGTAATCACTGCCTGCATTATACTCTACACAGACATGGTGCTCAGTTCTCTGACATAATAAAACTGTATTTGTATCTTTGTACTATACTCACTGTTAAATTACTTCCACCACAAAAAGATAAGAAAAAGCTGCAGCCCATTCAACCCAGCCCCCAAACCACCAACAAGAATGCATGAACTCTAGTAAATTACTCACCTACCAAATGATAATACATTTACCTCACAAATAGTAACTTTATTAGTCATAAAAACAATGAATTCCCCCCTCTCTCTTTCTCTTGGTTTGATCCTTTCTTACCTGATCTACCTTTCTGCCAAGCTCTGCAGACTACACTGCCAGCTGTTTGTACAGAGTGAATCACTCTCTTTACCACAGTCTTGTGGTGGTGAACTTTTCCCTTCTACAAACATGGGATCAAACACCCAGACAAGAACATCCAGAGACCCTCCACATTCTGGTGAGAGATGAAAAGCACGGTTAATTTGAGACACAAATTCACCTGTGCGTAACCAGTGATCAGACTAAACAACCAATGACTGGCGCTCAGCTAGTCTATCGCCACTGAGACTGTCCTAAATGAACTGTCTATAAACCCAGCTCACCATGACACAACATGAGAACTGACTTACTTCCAATCTTGTAGCTGCATCACGGAGAAGCAAACATATTTACCTGCTAACGGACATACCTAAACTTGCGAGACACATTAGAAAATGATCTCGCCAGACAAAAACACACATAAAACAGCTCAGATGGTGGGATTTTGAGACTATATACATTTTGTTATAAACATCGGAATGTAATGGCTTTCAAAACCTGTTCTATTTGCCATGCAAGGCCCATTCTGTCTGCTCACCTGACTTTGACAAGACATGGAGGAATGCAAGAACAGTTCTAACATACAGGAGACACTGCTTTCTGTCCCAGCTTTCTCTACTGACTACAGCAGAAATGGCAAACTATGATGCCCTGTATGATAGCTTTTATAATCAAGGACATATCTAAGTAAGGCGTGGCTACTTAATTTGTATTTAATGAGCTTAATAACATAATTGGCGTGTGTGTGTGTTTGTGTGCTAGGAAAAGTGCCTGATCGACCGAGTGTGTGTATATTGACATGTGAGCACTGATATCTTGTTTGTTCAAAGTATAGTAACTTTCATGTTTTCCCAAGTATCACACAACTGAACTTAACCTAAGATGTTCTAGATCACAACAGTTCACTATCTCAGAGTTTTAACATTTCTACAGGTGAGTTTACAGGGGGAGGCTATTTTTTTTAACTGAACAAGTTATATATTTCAGTCTCACAAGTTCAAAAGAGAATTATTTTCAGAAAACTCTTTATATGTTTGAACAACAAATAAGATCAAATTTTCAAAATTCCAACCTTTAAGTTAATAACATAATTTTCAAAAAATATTTTACAAACAAGAAACGCTGTGCACCTCATTTCAATTTGTGCACAGAAACTTTTATAATTTTTTAAAACGTTTTTCCAACAATACAGCTTCCTATTTTTTAAAATTCTAATCTAAATCAAAATTTCAAAATAATTTACTTTTTAATCAACAATAGAGCATACCTTATCACTTCTTCTTTGTAAGGACATTAATAAACAAAACTACTTGAACCACCCTATTCAACAGTCACCAATCTGATATCTCTGATCCAGAGTTACCTTACATTTTGGACAAACCTAGTGGAACAAAATGGCATAAACAATATCTGGAACTGTACAGCACAAAAAAGCAGAAATCTATTTTCTTTTGATCTACCTGTAAAATATGCAACTTCTAAGTGCCCTTACTGGTCTCTGCTCACCAGGGGGCCTTAGACTTCAAGAAAAGACACACCCCATGTGCACTGAACTTACTGTGAGATGGTCAACACCAAGAATGTGCTGGAAAGGAATTCCCTATTTGATGTTGTGCTGAGGTTAACAGGCGGGAAATATTATACTTCACCATTATAATAATGTTCATGTCGCAAGGGGGCAATGAGTACATTCAAAATATATCTCACAAAAAATTAAACTTTCATTAATAGTTGTTTTCTCTTCATGAATCTTTTAAACTAAATTAATGAAAATAAATTATATTGCTTGTTAATTTGACCATCTTTTATATTATTCATAAAAATATAAAACAGCAAAAAGGGACAAAAAACAATTTACCTTGGGGATCGCACTTGAACTTCAATAGAATTCCGTTTTGTTGTTTCTTCTTCAATGGGTGCAGGTATATTTTCTTTACTGTCTTTTTCTTTGTTACGTTCCTTATCTTTAATTTCCTGGGCCTTTTTTAGAAATGAGGGACTTGGGCTACTAGCACTTGACTCAACGCTACCCCTGGAAAAACAGAAGATATGGGCATGAATTATCAAAGAAAAAATAATTACAATTTGCCTGTCAATAGATATCACATAACATTCATACAATGTGACATCAGTGTGTGACAGAGAAAATATTCTCTACTAACATGAAATGGTATGTTTTGTTATATGAACATCATACATATTACCTACACGGAATGTACCTGAAAACAAAATAAACTGCATTCATTAGAAAATATCTACCAATTGTTCAGGACTGTTACCATGCTTTCCAGATTCTCCACAACCTTTATCTTTTGATAAGTCCTAGAACAACTATCAGTAATAAAAAAAAATCTTCTGCTGCAGAGTGTCCTGTGTATCAGACATTGAGGAGGATAAAGTTAAAATATTTCTACATCTTCATCTCCAAGGTGGGCTATCTAAATACATGACCTTTTCTTAGAAGGCAGGCCGCTAGCACTCTGCAATGTAGAGAAATTATGTCAGGTGTGCATAGGCTGCTGACACGCAGATGGTGCGAATATTTCAGAATTAAATCTTACTTGGTTCCATTAAAAAACATCCTGCTCTCACAGCAGGCCATAGCACCATCACATGCAGGCTCAGATACAGTAGCTTTTCATATCAGGTCTGGACGTCATAGCAGGCAGAATACAATCACATGCTACTGTATGACTGCCATTTACATACTGCTGTATGATTACTAAGTTTTACTGACAACAAATGAGAAAAACTCAATATTTTCAACAATGTTTAAAGCAGATGTCTTTCTCATGAAAAGAAAAATTCAATAATTTTCTCAAGCATCATTTGTGGTTACCTAGCAAATATTACAGCAATAATTGCCAGGTACATTCAAAGCAAAATAAAGGCTCATATAACAGTTAAATGATAAGTGCATTTAAAAGGTGTATGTTTAGGTAATATTCACTTGTTATTATCATGAATTCAGGCATATCTGTTGATTTCAAAAGTTAACTTCTTCAGATGAACTATACTGCCTTTTATTAAAGAAATGTTGCATTATTTACTCAGGTAGCAGACTTAACAGTAAGTCTAATTGTCTGACTCATGGACTAGGACAAAAAACAAGTTTTATCATCATTAACAAGAAATACCTTTCCCTCCCATGACCTACATGTCTTATGTTATAATCATTATAGATGCTCTCACATAAACTAGTATCAATGCCTGGCACACTATGTCAGCTTTTCGGTATCAGTGCTCTTTGTACTAAGGTAAACAAGGTGTTTTTAAGACATCAAAGCATTCCTGGTCAGCTTTCAGGTATGCAGAGTTTAGCTGATTACTCTCTGACTTCATCCTGGAAATTTAATCCTTTCTAGGAAAATTTTCCAACCCTAGTGCTTTCTGCAAGCTAAGCTCACTTCACATGCAGTGAGAACACCATACAACAAAGAAAGTCAGCATCGGACTCCGCCTTCATTAAAATCAAATTTCATCACTCATCCCACGTGAACAAAATGTTTCCAGGAATGCCACATCAAGCAGGTTGAGCACATCACTCTGTAAATAAATGATGAAAACACCCCGCAACAAAGGACTTCAACATGAAAGCATGCCCCGTGACCGTGAGGGTGGTGCGTCAATATCTCTGATTGCCACTGCAAACAAGCAGGAGAGGGTTGAAGCACAGACTGAAGTGGACGTAGAGCCTGGGGAAAACGGCTGAGCCATGCTACACTGATGTGTATTGGATACAAATATAACTGTGTCAAAGCAGCGATGGAACTCTTAGCTCGCCAAACATTGCTGGGGGCTTTTTTTTTGGTAGCTTGAGAGTGGATCTCTTGTTTGATACCCTTCACCGTCCAATTTATTTTGTATGACCTTTTACAAAACATTCTAGTAATCTTTAAAATATATATATATATATTCACACAATAACCTCACCAACTGTTACACTCAGTATAACCTCAGAAGCAATAATAACCGTGCAGAAAATTGAACAAATCTTTTGTGGAAAAAACAATAAGAGCTTACCAACCTTTTCCTGTCATTTTGTCACAAAATGTAAGCAACAAACTATTTGTGAAACGTGAAATACCATGCTTTGCAACCTCAAATGTTATGCCAGAAGACTAATTAAGGACAAATGAAATCCCACTGAATGTCTCCAAGGATTTATGATAAAAAGCAACAGCAACAAAATATTAGAATACTCTTCCAATGCAAAAATTTGAAAATTCAGCATAACATGCAATAAATCAAAACATGTGCATGCACACTGTGAACATGTGTTTGAATAAACAAGCCACACATGAAAATGCATACCCTACGACAACGACAGAAAACATGCCCTCATTTGGAGCAGAGCAGGGGCTGTTACTTGAAGTCGAAGTTCTGAAAAAACAACATAAGTACTTGCAGTAAATACTTTGACCATCTATCAAGCAAAATGTCTGTTTTACTATTTTCAGCTAATGCTTCACCTTTTGAACTAAACACTAACTTTTCATATATGTAATCATACACAACAGATCATCTGACTACAATTTAATCAAATGATAAATATTTCAATACTTATTAACAACTACTTATTAAACAGTTAATTGATGTTCTTCCAAGCAATCAATGAAATCAATTGAAACAATTTTTAATATTTTAAATATTACTAAATATAAATGAACTGACATTTATGGAATGTTGCTTTAGCAATTAATGTACTCATGGCTTCTCTTAAAATTGATGAAGCTAATATAGCAGTGCAGTGAACACCTGAACTATTAATGAATGCAGCCTTCACATGTAACTGATGAACATTTGGTGATCATGCAATATATTAAATGGTAGAAAATATATGCTGACTTCGATAAATGAAATCCATAAAATAATTTTAACTTTAAAGCAATAAGGATGACGTCTTTATCAAAAACACAATTCCATTATTACTTGAAGCTATAAAAAATCTTTAAAATTGTTCTATGTAAAATGGTTTCAATACAAACATCCTATTTAGTTTTACTCAGAATGTGTAAAGTACCAGGTGGCCATTTTTCTGTAGGAATTCTTTCAGAAATTACACAAATATTTCACCACCTCTAAGTTAAAAATCTCCCCCCTCCTGGTGCCCTCCTACTGCTCAAAATTAGTGAAAATATCGTCAATAATTTGTGCAATGCTCAGAAGTTGGCTCAGTTTCAATGAATCAGCATATACATACCACCAAGCTTCCTGAGAAACTGCTTACATATTAAATCTGGATCCAGTGGGTATTTTTTAAACCATTTGATTTACTTTCATATAATTTTGTGGTCAAATCTACAACAAATTTCCAAATTAAAATAAATATTCCTAATTTTCTTTAATCAAATCCAAAAATATTAGCCAAATGCAAAGAGAGCATGCTATTAAACAAGCACCAAAGAAATCCAGCATCTGCCAACAAGACATGTACATTCAGTCTTCAGATGACCTGTTTAACACGGGACATGTGCTGTGGTGAAACTAGAGCCAGAATGTAGCCACTTCATAGCAGCAAGCTCACCACATTCTGACAGACTGAAATAGTTGCTATTCATTATTTCAGCCACAATCATTTTAGAACCCAAGACCTTGTTGGCTGGTGCAGGCAGCACTGTGGTAGTCTACTAATATATATTTATATATGTATGGTAAATACATCAATGTGGTCCAATACCAAACACACACTGAGACTCTGAAACATCTTGATAAATCTGAGGATAAATGCAGCTATCTGCTATAACTTGTTCGAGAATGGGCAAAACAATGCTACTTCCAACAGCATAAACACAATAAATAAACTAATTAGCTGAAAACATGACAAAAATGCATGTTCATCTATATCACTGTGCATGTGCTATATCTCTATCCTGTGCAACTGACCACTTAAAATATTAACTGCTGTGCCAAAAGAAGTATAACTAAACATATAACCATAAAAAACAAAGGTAAATGATAACTGCATGTAATTTAGAAACACCCTCTCAAAACACTGCCCTAAGTACATAATGGATAGTTATAATGCTAAAAAAAAGTTCCTTTACAAACCATGCCCTTACTTGAACTTAAGCCCACTGCAACAGAAGTAACTGTGATGACATCAGCATGTGTCTACCCTTATAAAAAGCAGAAGTGAATGAACTGACAACTACATAGTACATAAATTTCTGTCACAAGTTGTGCTCCAACAGAAATGTCTACTGCTGTGGTACTAGTATGCAAGCAGTGTGAATACATTAACATTAAGTATATACACACCTTCCTACAACCCAGAACTTCCTCATCTTGCCGTCTTTAATTCACCGCCATTAAACAGTTGACAGCGGCTCAAACTCGACCACCTATAACAGTAGCTAAATCCCTTCAGTCAGCTGCACCAACAATATAAAAAGCCAGTCAATTTAGTTCGGTGGCTTTTACATCATTCTCCAGGCTACTTTGAATCACAATTTGCATTTTTACATGTGAAAGCCAAGAGGCATAATGGACTCCAAAGGTTGCTTATTAAAGGCAAACATAAAAGGGATTGAATTGAAATATTTTCAGGGAGCAAAGTAGCAGCGGTGATGTGCTTGGGAATGATGACCTCAGGAGCAACGGCAGAACAACCAACTTTTTGCTGCGACAACAAACGCCAGTGTTTTGCTCCAATTAAAAACTTCCATTCCAATGGCACCGATATTTGTGTTGCAAACAAGAAACAGAATGTAAAGACGCTGTGTTTTGATTTCATTCACAATGTTTGAGCCAGACGTAACTCATGCTCTTGGAGGTGACGGAACAAAAGAATTTGCAACATGAAACACTTACAGCTTCAGAAAGGAATAGCCAGCTCCATTAAAGCAGCTTGTCGCTGGCAGTTCTTTGGGGGAAATTACCCTTTTGTGTTGCTGTTTTACACTGCATACACAAACAAGTGTGCAGGGCTGTTTGTTCTAGCTAGTTAGGGCAGCATGTTTCGTGTGATTCGTTGTCCACCTGGATTCCACGCACATACATAATGCAAATTCAACGAGGCAGGCACGCAGAAGTAATCGCCCAATTCTATCTGGAGGAATGCAACATTGTATCAAACTGACAAAACAACTTGGGGTTCTTCCATAAACAATTTGACTTCATGAATGAACCTTCTCTGCTCCAACAATTACACAAATAGCCGAGGCCATTGGTTGAATCACATGTGGGATTTTCAAATTTTCTGAGCAATGAATTAACATCAAAACCAAACCACCAGAAAACAAATCTTTAAGTGTCATGTTAACATTGAAAAGTAACTTCTAAATCAATGCATATAAATATCTATGGCAGAGGCTTAAGACAAGAAATGCTGTAATTCTTAAACAGAAAAATAACCAAAATGGCCGATAAAGCTTGATGTTCTGTGAGATCAAATGATATAGAACTTATCCTTAAAAAAAAAAACTCAAACTAGCCATTTATTTGAAAAAAATTCAAGTCAGTTTGAGAAGATTAATTTTCCCTTTTTTCTTAACTTATAAGTAAATACTATGCTATCAATATTATCTTATATTTACTCCAGGGGAAAATTTGGGCAATTAAGAGTATAAAAATCNACATCAGCATGTGTCTACCCTTATAAAAAGCAGAAGTGAATGAACTGACAACTACATAGTACATAAATTTCTGTCACAAGTTGTGCTCCAACAGAAATGTCTACTGCTGTGGTACTAGTATGCAAGCAGTGTGAATACATTAACATTAAGTATATACACACCTTCCTACAACCCAGAACTTCCTCATCTTGCCGTCTTTAATTCACCGCCATTAAACAGTTGACAGCGGCTCAAACTCGACCACCTATAACAGTAGCTAAATCCCTTCAGTCAGCTGCACCAACAATATAAAAAGCCAGTCAATTTAGTTCGGTGGCTTTTACATCATTCTCCAGGCTACTTTGAATCACAATTTGCATTTTTACATGTGAAAGCCAAGAGGCATAATGGACTCCAAAGGTTGCTTATTAAAGGCAAACATAAAAGGGATTGAATTGAAATATTTTCAGGGAGCAAAGTAGCAGCGGTGATGTGCTTGGGAATGATGACCTCAGGAGCAACGGCAGAACAACCAACTTTTTGCTGCGACAACAAACGCCAGTGTTTTGCTCCAATTAAAAACTTCCATTCCAATGGCACCGATATTTGTGTTGCAAACAAGAAACAGAATGTAAAGACGCTGTGTTTTGATTTCATTCACAATGTTTGAGCCAGACGTAACTCATGCTCTTGGAGGTGACGGAACAAAAGAATTTGCAACATGAAACACTTACAGCTTCAGAAAGGAATAGCCAGCTCCATTAAAGCAGCTTGTCGCTGGCAGTTCTTTGGGGGAAATTACCCTTTTGTGTTGCTGTTTTACACTGCATACACAAACAAGTGTGCAGGGCTGTTTGTTCTAGCTAGTTAGGGCAGCATGTTTCGTGTGATTCGTTGTCCACCTGGATTCCACGCACATACATAATGCAAATTCAACGAGGCAGGCACGCAGAAGTAATCGCCCAATTCTATCTGGAGGAATGCAACATTGTATCAAACTGACAAAACAACTTGGGGTTCTTCCATAAACAATTTGACTTCATGAATGAACCTTCTCTGCTCCAACAATTACACAAATAGCCGAGGCCATTGGTTGAATCACATGTGGGATTTTCAAATTTTCTGAGCAATGAATTAACATCAAAACCAAACCACCAGAAAACAAATCTTTAAGTGTCATGTTAACATTGAAAAGTAACTTCTAAATCAATGCATATAAATATCTATGGCAGAGGCTTAAGACAAGAAATGCTGTAATTCTTAAACAGAAAAATAACCAAAATGGCCGATAAAGCTTGATGTTCTGTGAGATCAAATGATATAGAACTTATCCTTAAAAAAAAAAACTCAAACTAGCCATTTATTTGAAAAAAATTCAAGTCAGTTTGAGAAGATTAATTTTCCCTTTTTTCTTAACTTATAAGTAAATACTATGCTATCAATATTATCTTATATTTACTCCAGGGGAAAATTTGGGCAATTAAGAGTATAAAAATCTCAGCAAAAATCCTGGACACCAATCACCTAGCCAACACTGATTCATTCTTTAGAGAAAAAATAGATGATTAAAAAACCTCCCAGGATTTCAGGTAGACAAACATGCAATACTGCCATTAGCTTAGAAATATTGGTCTTACTCTCTGACTATTCCCTGAAGGTAAGAAGTATTGGTTTAATTTCTTCCTAAATTCATTCATATCATAGCTAACATTCATCAATAACCGTAATGGCAGAAAGTCTTCACCTCCAAGGCATAGTCATCTGCTGGAAGTCATCAACAGATGACCAAGTCTGGTGGTTGAAGACAAAAGTGGAAGGGGAAAATAC